ACAAGAAGAGCCACAGCAAAAATGACTATGACATGGCATCTATGTTTGGGGCCTTGTTCTGTCCTATAATATACTTGGTCGCAACCTTCTTCGTGTCTCGCATATAGTGTATATTGTGTCCTTCGTGGGCAGCAATGGTCGACCGATAACGTGACCCACCGGTTATTGCTAGATGGATAGGAAAGAGATGCGAATCGCGTGATGGATGCGCAGACGCCGCCTGGCGAACAAAACGACGGCACAAAAACTGTCCAATGATCTACAGAGCATTCAATAATGTGGAATGAAATGCTTTGACTTTTTTTATATAATGAGCGGGGAAAAAAGTCTCTTAACGGCTGAACATAAAGTCAGTTTTGAGTTTGAGAGTTCTCATCTCACATCTTTGACTCTCGTTCGTACTACACATTGGCTGTTTGTTGCGTTAACGAACGTACAATAAAGACTCTCAAATTGTCCACATGTTTGCCACTACCATGTTCCTAGATAGGTCGTTCGCAACGGCAAGGGTTTCTATATTTGCTAGTGTCTGTACTGTATATCATTTCACAGCCTTCTCGTCAACTCAGGCCACATGAACGAGGTAGGACTTCTCATCACATTAGTTACGTCTTCAGACACAAATGAGCCCTAGCCACATACACCTTTCATACATCTGTTTATACATTTAGCAAACACCGAATGCAGTGTTGAGTTAATTGTCAGCTTACATTAGCTAGAGAAACAGACTGTAAAAAGTGAAGAAGTCGAAAATTCGTTCCATTACGAGCCATAGTAAGGTGCAAAACTTTTTTTTTTTTTTTTTTTTTCTGTGCTGCTGGCATATTCCAATGCTTATACCAAAAGTGAATTTTTAAATTGAAAAACGTTTTCATAGAACTAAAAGTTCGTCAGCGAATAAACACAAAAATAATAAAAACTAAAACGACTGACGAATTGTCGTCGAAATAACTAGAAAAGCCACTTCGGATCTGTTGGGTTTTCGTCTGCCTAAAATTTTTCTCCTACACTGTAAATTGACCACGACGCAGGACTAGTGCTTCTTTGTGACAGATGCTTCTTTGTGCCTAAAGTAAGGCAAGTGATGGAACAAAGATATGTTCGCAATGAGAATACCTATTTTGCAATAATGCGTTATAATAATGGACCACCGATAGGAATGATAACTGTATTGATGGTGCTAAATAAGTTCGACATCGAATTCAGAGAACTAGGGACTAGGTTCTGCCTTAACATTCGGGCTATTCGAGTTGAGCGGTAACTTCAAAGGAACAGACCTAAATCTGCTATGGCTATTAAAGCAAATGGGAGAAACGTCGAGTGAACCGGATCTAGATTTTCTCGCCAGCCATGTCATCAGGGCAAAGTCAGAAAGGGAGAGCAACACAACTTCGGAGCAGCGTTTGATAAAAGAATAAAAGAAAATTGAGCGCAAATAACCTGTTTGAATCAAAGCATTGAAACTGCGTCTTAAAATCGATCTAACATAGTATTTTAAGGACGTTAATGTGACGTCCTTGAACTATTCTGCATTCGAACTAGAAATCATTTCTATGTCTGCTCGGCCGTTTCTTCTTCCCTATAACTAAGTTAGACAACTACATAGCATGGCAGACAACAGAAATGGGAGTGGCGTTGTGTACGAATTCCGTAGAAAAAAGCATTATCATCATTCAGGTGCTTCCACGAAGCGCGTATCACTTCGTCATGTGTGTGCCTACATGGATTACACGCAGTGCCTGAACTGCTACAGGATCGCCTAGAGAATCATCCGTACAAGCAGGGAGCATAAAAATGCAAAGCGGTTTCGTGAATGGGCTATATTGAGGCGTTGGCGAGGGTTCGGGCCGGTTTCGCCAGGATCCCCCAACTCCTTCTGTGAACCATGCTTCACCCAGCGCCCCATAAGACCACTTGAGCAGTGCGCGCGTCGCGCACAATCCATCCGCAAATTCACAGAGTAACGGATACTTCCTCTGGCTGAGCTGGGCCATAAGCTGCGGTTCTCTTGAGCTTAAATCGTCGCAAGCAGGACCCCATGTTCGTCTAACGGTGCAAAATTCATGCCCAAAAGCGGCAGCAATACAAGCTTTAACAACTGCGCTACTACAGAGAGGATTCGGTCGCGCTGCCTATTTTGTATCTTTCAGTCCATGCTCATCCCTCAACTCAGTAAGTAGGAGGCCATTTCTTGCCAGTTTAGAGACTGTAAGCAATATTGTACTACGAATATGTATGATAATATGACGAGCTTTAAGGAGACGTCAGTTTTTTAGAGTGTAAAGTGGACGGTATGTCCGTCAGCATTACGGAGACGTCAGCTTCTTAGAGTGTAAAGTGGACGGCATGTCCGTCAGCATTACGGAGGAAGTGCGCCCGTCCACAAACAGACACGTGGCTGGCAATAGTGCGGACGAAGTGAATTTTGCCGGAACAAATTTCCTTACATGTCATTGAGAAGATTGACTTTTGTTATCATCAGCTCAGAAATACACACGTTCTAAATATAGATACTGATCGTAATGATTCGCGCCAGGCTCTCTATTTAAGATGCTCGATTGGATAGGTTAAGATGTGTAGGTATATAAAGTTATCAATGTTTATGCATTTTATAGTGATCATATCGACTGAAAATGAGTACTTCTGAACTCATTCTAACGTTATAGTGTTGCAGAGTTTTAAAGTATAGGGTGTTCGGAAAGTCGTGCAGTCCTATGGCGCTTATGAACGATGCATAATTTGTTATAGAGACGTCGAGCGGCGTGCTCAAAGGTAAACACAGCTGCATAAATCTGCGTTTTTTAGCGCGTTTAACAAGTCACGTACTTTATTGGGTTGCATAAGCTCAACCTATTCGAAGGAATTACAAAACCCAATAAAGACTCGAATGTTTTCTAGTATTTTTTGGCCAGTTTGCATGCGTTCAAAGAGAGACGCAATTCGCTGAAGTAAAACTCAAATGAGGTTGCGTTCCTTTTCCCTGAACATTTTATGCGGTAACTTTATGTTATACTGCACGCCTCTCCAAGCATCTTGCACGCAGTCGAATATAGGTATGATATAGCTATCTGCGCGCGTAGCGAACATTTTTATAGACATAAGATGTAGGACAAAGCAGGTGCATACGGCCTATGCTATTCAGGTAAACATTTATCGCCAGCATTCACATCTTCATAGACGATTGCCCAGTTCTATCAGGCCACAGATAGTTCTAGCCTGGCGAGCGAAGAGTTTTGATATATTCCATCAGTACTAAATGCTAAAGCTTTACTTCCCCATTTCCAGCCTAAGCTTTTATGCGGGCCGAGTGCCAGGTACTTTTCTAAGAAAGAAAACCCCCCGGTCACGTACAGGAAGTCTGCGTTGGAACCTTGTGCGCGCGCCTAATATTTGCCTGAAATCATGAATATTCTTTCCACACGTGGGAAAGAGCTCGGAGCAAAGGAACAAAGACGCAGATGGATAGAGCCGCGCGCCATTCTGCTGTTTCCAGTGTAACAGGTTCCGCGGTGATAAAATAGCGGATTCAGCAGGAACCGCGGATGAAAACTTGGCCGTTCCCGGTGAATCGTATACGAACACGGATCGACCGTGTCAAGTCAGGATAAAAGCTTCTATGTCAGGTAAGTCGTCTCTCGTACGAAAATTCGATGAGCAAACGAATTAGCATTCGTCTGCAGCTCCTAGGCGGTCGACGCCCAAGTGGAGTCGAAAAGAGACGCACATGGCGAAGGTGCACGGAATAAGCTGCTATGGCGTAACGGAACGGCAATGAGAGTACGGAGAGGAGAACACGGCCAAGAGGAAAGTGGAATCAGAGACAGGATGAATCAGCAGATCTTTTCATGACATGGCTCCTAAATATGCAATCAACCATAAAGATCGGCCTTTGAGTGTAAAATAAATTAGGTCACTGCACTAACTAATTTTCCCTAGCTAAAGAATGACGTGCTCAATACCAAACGAATGGGATCTTTATGTAGTTGAGGTTAACGACAGGAAGAAGGTTAAGTTAACATTGAAAAATAGCCAGGTAATTTCATATGTAAAGGCTGTTTGACAGATCTGACCTGATTTATCGCCTACACTGCTTACTTTGTGCTGATCTCTGCATGCAACACAAATCATATGGTTTCTGTGAAACGGAGATCGTAGCCAAAACTTAAGATTTTCTATAACTGATGCGCTTGCATACAAGCTACAAGTTTAACTGCTGTAGAGGCCAGCTAAACTGCTGTCAGTTATCTTGTTTGCTCGTGTACGATAAGAACAAGACGCCTATATTTTAGGCAGAAGTTATCAGCACGGCCTGACAACTAACGTCCTGGTCGGAGGTTTAATCTGGCGGTATTTCCTGGTCGTTCCCAAACAAAACCGGATCCAATTAAAGGGGAAAAGTCACATTTATAATCAGCGATTTATCATCATAATGCTATTATATGGATTGACGCATCAGATTCGTTAAGGCGTATATACATGGAATACGTTTGCCAATAAAGCCAATCATATTAATTTATATAACTAAATTTTCCTTTGTTCGGGAAATATTCTTGTCACGTAGCGTTTCCATACGAAACGTTTTTGCTTGTACATATTTTTGACAGAGCTAAGAATAGGTATTTGTAAGTCCTTTAATCAACTGGTCCGTTAGCTGCATCCTGAAGCAACTCGTACGGGCACGTGATGCCTAGCGGATCAGCTTGCTCGGATCCTATCACCGTCTATCCTATCAAAATATTTATGTATATAAAAAATTATTGTGCTACACGGAAGATCTTATAAAGGCACCGAAATAGCTAACATCGATCTACTCAATAGAATCCTGCTTTTACTATTCGAGCACTCCCTTTCGGGCAACACTGCCGGGAGCATTGCGTTGAAAACCCGTTTAATTTTGTATCAAACTTCGCATCATTTTGTTCAAGTTAGCATAGAGTAACTTACTTTACTAATAAACTACACAATTCTATGAAACAGTGACTATATTTTATTACGTTGCTTCCTACATCGTGGCCGACAATCGTTGCAAGGGGTAGCGTTGGATAAAATCCGTCCTTGTTTCAGATACCTGTCACTTATACACTAACGATTTAATAGAGTTAGCTCCATCTTGCCGTACGAAACAAATTTGTAATTTTTAATTTATTATTTCCATTTAATAGTGTAGACAAGCACAGAACACAAGCGTAAACACACCCTTGTCAGAAAAGTTGGCCCAAAAACATATAGTAGAATAAAATTGTACTATCAAATTATCCAGACATCCTGCAATGACCCTAGAACGACACGCAGGTATCTAAAGTTGCATTCTTCCTAACACGTATCAAAGTACCAAGAAGGAGCATGCTTAACATCCGCTTTCATCCCAATAATCTTAGCAGAAAGCGATTCTAATACATAGTTACAAAAGAATCATTCATTATTGCTGGGTTCATTACAGAACGTTAGGCTAGCCCGGCAGTTATCGTCAGGATCAACCGCGAACAGTTTTCCATTTTTGCAGGTGCACAGCGCGTAGGTACCGTCATCTTGTTCCCCAGACCGTTGCCCATTTGCTGTGCCCTCTTGGTCTTCGAAACTACCAACAGCCACTTCGGTACCTCCATCAGCTCCGTCTGTTATTGAAATTTAGTTTCAAGAAAAACGTCAGCTCAATGTGGAAAGCAATGCTGAAATTAGCTTCTCTAACAAAAATCTTTCAATCGGAATTTAGTTAACTTCTACTAACTAGTAATATATCTAACCCAGTGGGTCGTATCTGATAATTTAGTCAACAGCTAATGGTGATCTGTGGAGAGTTTTCGGTCAGTCGTATTTGTTGTGGCTCAGAAAGGGATTGTAATAACCGAAACACTACAAATAGGGAATAGAGTACAAACCAGATGAGCGCCGCTCCTAGTTCATTTCTAGCAAGGTTTTTCCACTGGTTAACAATAGGTGATTTAGGTTTTTATAGGGTGAAAACATGCAGGTATGATTTCATTGATAGGCGCAAATTAGAGGCGATGTCGTGAAACGATCCCTTGTCAAATGATTCACTCGCTAAGATGCCCTCCCCTAAGCACCGTGCCGAGGGACATTTACCGAAAGGCACTCAGTCAGTTATTTTAGCTAAGGAACTCAAAATAGAGTGCTCAAAATAGAGAGATCGAACTAGTGCAATGTTTACCTTCTGCTAATTCAACTGGATCTTCAATATATCGTTTGACACGCACGCTCCTTACAGCGACAATAGGAAGATCCTTGATTTCTAATTTGTGACTGTTCAATACAATCTGAAAAAAGGTATTTCTACATAATTTCTTCAATATGTAAGATCGCTGTAATGGCAAAACGAATCAAATCAAGGTAGACACCTAAGTGAAAATAGTCCGACGTATACCTAATAACACAATGAGGTGGCTGTTTCTGTCCGGCAATCGTCTTAGCCATTGCAATCTATCTGTGGCGTTGTGTGGCCGAAAACTGAGGCGTATATCATATAGATGGCTTCATCCGAAATGGGTGACTGTTGAGATATACCCTTCCCTATGTTGATGGTCATAAGTCGTGCATTGCACGGATACTCCTAAACACTAAATCATCTGTTATCACTCAACTTACCGTCCCGTCCTGTGACTGGATATTGACAGTGTCAACAGATCTCATGCTGATATGTTCCGCTTTGGATTCAATCAAAAGCTCTCCACCACTCCGAATATTGACTTCGTTTAACGGCGATTCCAGTCTAAATAGAAATTGGTATATTACCATTGTGGATAAGTGGCCTACTTGTATACATTAATTCAGATCAGCCATCTTTTTCTTCATATGTAATTTCAGTCATATTAGTCATCCGCTATTACTGTTCAAATACTGCGCTCATTATCCTTCATTCGAAACTATGTCCCGCGTTTCTATCAGCAGGTGTCCTGGAAAAGACGTGTACGTATTTCTTTCTCTAGCTGCAGGCCTCTCAACTAAATATGCAGTCTCAGCAATCGTTTGTAGCTTTATCCTCACAGGGGTAACATTATTTGTCTTAATTATTGTTAGACTAGACTGCGAAGCCGCTTCCATGTAAAACAATAGTAGCACTAAATGCCTCGCTTACCAGCAAAATATTCTGGAAACAAACGAAAAATTTCAAAAAAAAACAGAACTTACTTCAGTTTTCCCGAAGTTCGACATCTTCGTCTTAACAGAATTACAAGGAGCGACAACAGGCTACAAATTGGTCCTAATCAAGTTCTAATTTTTTCTAGAACTCTTCGCTTACAGGTAATATACATGGCAATAGACGAGTCCGTATATGCCAACTAGCTAACTGCTGACGAGGGCGGCGATAAACCTATTTCAAGGATTAACATTAAACGAGTTATGTTTAGGACCGATGGGTTAGCGTTTATGGGGACCAGGTTATAGCTAATAATTACCTTTCAAACCATACATTTTGTCTCACGGTAAATCGCAGCCAAATATGGTACCTTAGATCGTAGTGGGGACTTCCACGCACGGTTTTAGCTTGCAATGATCCCTGAAGATTGAACCCGTTCGGAGCGGTGCCTGGTACTCTGTCTGCGGCTACTATCAACTGGTCTTGATCCGCTCTGAACAGTACACCTCGGTCAGAACTAGCTAGAACTTCGAACGCTTCTCCACGGGCCTCTAACCGTCCATTTGACAAGGACAAGGAATTGACTTGACCCGCCCGATTGTTTGACTCTAGGTGTATGTCCTTCCCCGACGACATCAAGAGACCTACGTTCGGCTGTTCCTGTTATCAGAAATGGCAACCAGTGCCGAAGGGATTAAGTTCAACGCACGTACAAGGCAACTTTACATCTCTTAGCCAGTACCTACCTTAGAACTAGGTCCTCTGACCTATGTCCTTCATGCATCGAGTGATGACTTAACTCAGCAAAGCAGACATATTATACAGCTTGTTCAAGGCACTGTCCAATGCTTCCTATAAAACCCCGTTCCGTACAAGTGTATATATGAACGCACCATAGAAACGTGTTCGGTCCTAAATAGTTTATCGTGCACCATTTCTAGGCCTGCAGTCTACGCTCTTGCTCTGAACGACACCTGCATATGCTTAACTATTTTTGTAGTATATCTGGCGACATCATAAACAAATAAGTAGAAATAGTTGACAAAAAAAAAGCGTATGTTGTATCCGATTCGACAAGTAGCCCCGTTAATGTTTCCCGTCTGTGTAAATATCTACACGTCTATTTATACACGGGAGGCATATTTAATTGTGAGAGATTTCGGCGCAACATGCTACCACATCAGAGCACACTATAATTAGTATAATCCAATATAGACACCTCGGACGGTGCATCAGCGCATTCAGCTTAATACTAGCTCTCTTCATTCGAATGGCGCGAGCTTCTTTTCCAATCGTTTCCATGCTTTATATAACGCTATGACATCTTACGGTGGAAGTGAATGCTGCACTACGCGATTAGAACGAAAAGTTGATAATGCCAGAGATACTTAACGATCCTATTCAGCTTCAAAAAAATCTAAAATATTACCTTGTTACCGGCAACGTGTGACAACCGCGTAGTTCGTAACAGGTCGGCAAACACGGCGTAATCTCTTAGCCAGATACCGGACGACGCCGAGAACTTCATTGAGCTCATTCCAGCTCGGGTTAGCTGCAGTACCCGAATGAGGAAAATATTCATCGCTAAATTGACACATACGACCGTGATGGTAAGTGCTACCAACAGGTGAAATGCCACTGTGGTCGTCGATTTAGCGCTCGCGCATGCTGTTGGCGACACCCGGCAGTTATTAACACAGTTGCTTGCTGTGATCATGATGCCACAGCTGTCTCTGGTGGCCTCTTCTTTGTCTATGATAATTGATCCGTTGGTTTCCAGCTGAACCACTTGCTGGCCTACCGGCGACATCATGACAGTCTTCGAATTAAGCCGACAGGATCTTTAGCTAAATAATTTACGGTAATGTTTCCTTTGTCTAGTTGACTTCCTAGACATGTTGTCGGCTACGTTTCGGCGGATTTCAGCGGCGTCTCACGATAACTGCCTAGCACATTCGAGCGATAACTTGAAGTAGGGCGACTTGGCAGACATGCAACTTCAGGCCACGATTTCAATGGTTGCGCCAACTTCTGATTTTGAAGTTATTGAACAAAGCGTTTTTGCTATGTAACAGCAAACTACGTCGGTCACACCGCAACGGCCAGTGCTAGTGGCTACTCTATAGATTACTTTGGCCGACCGTGTCGTGCGGCCCAGGGTTCACAAACACAGTTTACATAGGAATCGAGAACTGTATGCTTTCGGCGGTAGCCAACGACTGTTGGAGTGCGAGCGTCAGAGCTCCTCCCACGGCGATCGCAGCGCCCTCTGACCGGTTTGAGCGCTTTTGACAAAGAGGGCTTGCGTCGTACAACAGGATTTTGCAGGTCGAACTTCAAAATAGAGCACGTGGGTATCGTCTAATTATCGCCAATAATAAGCACAGAGCTGTAAAATACCCCCACAAGCAATTGCTTTTGTAACTATCGCTCAGCTGACATTTGTTTAGGAATTTTTAAAGGAGACAGTACATTCGATTAACGTGCACCTTAACGAAGATAGCCACCTTAATAGAGATAATTTTTAGCCAAAGCCAGCCGGTCCTTAAACGAATGCTATATAGAAGAACGATCTCAGTCTGTTTCTTCCATGACATTTCGCGTAGGGATATTTAGTCAATCCATTTTACAAATAATAAACGTATTTAGTTTTCAAATTCTATTGGCTTCCCCTCTAAAATGTAGAATTCATGATTCATTTTCTACATTTTTTAGAGAACTCAAAGTGTCCTCCATTTTTCGTTTCATCTACAGTATTCAAATATCCTTTCTTACACGTTTTTTTGTGAATACAGAAAAGATCTTACAAGAAACACAAATCTTATAGAGACGGGGATTTACGTAGGGAAGCCATCGAATTTCTAGCAAAATGTTCGATATTATATGTGGACAAGCACTTCGTCTATAATAATTGTACAGTTAGACATAGTAAAAGTCTGCTACTGGCAATATTTTGTGACACTTCACAGGCTAGAGCTGTCGGAGTTTGTTTAAGTGATCAGGGGGGGGGGGTGCGGGTGCGGGTGCGGGGGGTGACTTCGGTATTCCTTAAGCTGTCCCGAAAGTAACTATACTTTTGAAAACAAATTTGCTCTGCAGGAATCACTAAAAGTTAACTAAAGGAAAATGCACTAAAAGCTAAGTTACCTATCAGATTTCGCGTTTGTCAGCAATAGTTGTTCATAAATTTACTCACTTCTAAAAAAAGTTAACCAATAAGCTTGTCGATGGTATGAAGTAGTTCATCACTATTTGAAATAAAATTTCATCTGCTATTTATCATAGTATTTCTATTAATTTTATGTCAAATAGTCAAAGTTTGCCGTGTATTGAGGTTGTTTTTTGTACGTGAAGACCGTGTTTTCTCGACTATGATAAATATAAACGTGCAGTCAACCATAATTCCATCTCATATATTTCTGTATTAACGAGTATGTAGAAATGCATTAACGGGACGTCATCATCCGTAACTGAATTGTTGTGTGATCACAAACACGTTCTGAAATGACTCCAACATATCTAGCTGGTACTTAAAGCTCGCATATTGTGATAACAAAAATAGACACGCAAATAGGGCTCAAAAGGGTTTCTATAATAGCCAGTATTCAGCATTTCCGAAACAGGGTGTACGTGACATTTTATGCTGAAAATTTGATAGCATCACTTGTGCTTTAGATTAAAAAAAAATACTGCCTATGTAACGCAATGCAGTTATTAACTCGATTCTAAACGATGATATAAATTATTTTAATTAGTAGCTTTTTACTAGACAATGTAAGATACAAAGAGTTATGGAGGCTCGCCTTTAAGCGGTATTAAACGACTTAGAAATAATCTTTTAGCTACCGAGCGATGATAATTTTCTCACCTCTGAAAACAACCGGGAAAAATTCTAAGGCCAAACTGTGACGTCAGTTTGGCCTTTTCGATGATCCAGCACATAATTTTCTATGATTTCATCATTGTAGGGTTTCGAACAGCCCTTCCTAATTTTTTTACGCTATGATTAGCATGGTAACAGGCAACAAAAAATGCAACAATACGTAAGTGGTAGAGATATTTTCAACGCGTACAAACCTCACTTTGCAAAGATACACCTCGTATCAACCAAATGCTGATATTCGATAAAAACTCTACGTATTTACAAGAAGCTCTTTTTCTGCGCGATGCAGTGTTTCAGAACTCTCTGACTTAGACTCTGATTAAGGCATTGCCTTGAAGTTACGCTGTCATGTCCCACGGCAACGGTGCAGTTCGCCCGAGAATTGAATTGAGCCTGAAGGCAAAGTAACGAACAACAATGGAAATAATTAATATTGTTAAATTACTTTAGCAAATGATGTGTGGGTAATTATTTCGGTTGTTTTTGTGGACGACGAGAAACAATACGGCCAGTTTATCTATCGCTAAGTGCCTCTCTGTTTTTACCGGTCTATCGCATTAATAGATTCGTATTAACTAAAGCCGGATTTATTTATCTATTTGTTGTTTCTTTTCAAATAGAGGATTTGAGCAATATAGTTTACGAACGATCTCTACCATTGGAGTATAACGTCTGTCTTACATGTGAATCGACTATGAGGCCCAGCTCCGCCAGTTACAGTTAATCCGGTCGAGAGCAATTACTTACTAATTGTCAATTTTTCTCTCAAACTTCGATTCAGTCTAGATATTCATTTTTTCGAATTATCAGCTGTGAGCTGCCCTTAATCCGCGTCCTGCATTGCAGGTACAAACCATCCTGTTCTGTCCGAGAATACGTACTTGGACCTTTATTCCGAACTGTCATTAATGAGAACCTGCCCAGTTAGCCGAGTTCCTTTAACTCATCTTTTAAGAAAAGAAAGAGGTACGGACGGCCATATGAACGGAAGTTTCAGCACAAGAGGCATGCTCTCAAGACACGTGCTACATACGTGTAAAAATTATATAACCAATGGAACACAGTTCAAACGCGGGTCTGATCATCTGCGAACTCTTCTTTGTTCTTCGATTCCTTCAAATGTATGTTTTCGTCGCACAAATTTGCTAAGAGTGATGCTTACTGTGAGGCTTGATATTATAGCGCCTGTTTGATAATGAACATTAAAGATAAGAAGCCGTATTTTTTGCTGCAAGTTTTCTCAAACACGATACTCTGATTGTTTCGGTGTCTATTCGTGGGAGCTTCTTTGTCCCATAAATTGTTCAAAATATATAACTAGTCATTTAGGTGACGCTTGTCACGACATTTGACCAAACGGACGTTTTTCAAGATGGATGCTATATGGTACTTATCGAGAGAGAATCGAAGACCTCTCAGATAAATCTGATTCCCCTTAAAGACCAAGACTCGCTTTTAGTGTAATACAGTGTTCCACGTATCTTGTAGAGTTGACGATCGGATGGATCCATCAGTGACTCTCTCTGAAATGACGATGGACAACGTATAACGTTCAAGCTCGGATTGAACAATGGAACGTTCCGTGAGCGCCACATATATAAGCGATGAACAAATATCCAAAGTGTTTCACCGTTTGCTAGTACTCGAAAAAAGCTGACCTCTCTTAGAGATGCAAAAAATCTCTGTCACCCTTAGATCGGACTCTGAAATGTCCTGGTTGTCATGACGAGGAAAATTTTTTTGCTAGCAAAATGAATCGTGCAATAAGGTCGTAGAACTGGTGGAACCTTTTGTGTGAAAACTCTTTTCCAAAAAGAATTCCCACAGTCATTTTATCAGTAAGGGATATAGATATGACCTGCATAGTCGAAAACCTAACGGCCGCATCAGTAGCACTTCAAGACCTGCTTCCTACAATCTTCCTGCAAGCCAATTACCATGAGTGAATAAACTTCGGTAAGGACCATTTCACGTTTGTAGTTGAACCTTTTGATGACAAGTTCAAAACGATTCAAGCTCTGAACTTCATATTCTGTCCGCGCTCGTTTTCTCAGCCGACCGTGAGGCAGACAACGATGCTGTTGTACGCGCTTTCACTGATACAAATGGCGGCTTGTCGTAAGTGGTCGGAACAAATACAAAAAAGGCGTTACCATGAACAATGCAACAACTCCGATGAAAAGAATATCCTTTTTTTTTTTTTAATTAAAACCCTGCAAATGAGAAGAGACGCAAGCCTAAACGTGACAGACATTTTACTAAGGAAGCCCTTAAACATTCGTGGATCAAAAGCACGACGAACCGGACGCCTCGTGACGACGAGCCCCGACCAACTGGAATAAACTATGCGAAGTCACCGTTCGACCGTGATTAGCACCCACACCCATATCGAAGCCGTCGTAACAAACAGCATTACTACCACGAAACGTTCTGGGGGCAGACGCGGTGTCCAATCTGCGCCTACTTTTCTGCACTGGTACATAGGAACTGGTAAATCTACAGGTTCCAGAGGCGTTTCGCTGCAATAAACTGCGTTTCAGAGGAAGCCACAATCGATTAGATGTGGCCACACAGCAGAGGCCGTAGTCAATGACGTCGAAACAACCAATAGTAGCACACTCAAATCAAGAAGAGAAGCTAGATAAAATATCTTTAGTATAGTCAGACGCAGAGGGAGCCACTTTTGCCTTATTGCTGCTACTACAGTCTGCCTATACTGGAACCGATGTTTTTATGTCCTAAGACCTCAAAGTCAAACATTTCCTACGCCGCCCACTCCGCCACATGTCTATTTGCAAGGCGAAGCCGCCCTAGTGAGAACGTGTCAGTGTGTGCAACTTCCGAACGACCTAAAGAAATCAGTGTCATGCTTGCAGAGGATGCTGAAATAATATCGAGGGGCAGTAGATTTAATATCATGGCCATATACGTTCACTACAGCGAACAGGACAATTCTGATCGACAAGATCACTCGTGCTGTACATACGCTCTGATCACTCCGTTTGCACTTGCTGGTGTCCTAAGCACGAGAATATAGAAACCGCATGACCCTCTCAGATGCTTAAGCTACTAAATCTGCTGGATGACTTCTGGCTGGTGTAACCCACTCGTATAGGAATACGTCAACGTTTGAGGGTTTTACGGGCAAATCGGTAATTGACATCTTCGCATCCAATGGAGTGCCAGAATAGATTGATACATTAAAAGAAATAATTCGCTAAGTGATGGAGCCATACAAATGAGTGCGAAATGAAAAATCACTGCGATACCCTATACAGGCCGTACAGCGGATTTCGTATTT